AATCAAAAAGAAATAATTGAATTACAACCAAAAGATGGTGTCAAACTCAAATTGAATAATCAAAAGTAAATCGTTGAAATTAAAATCAAATCATGGAGTCAAACCCGAATTGTTGAATCCAAACCAAATCATTGAATTAAATTCAAATGATAGAGTCAAACCCGAATTGTAGAAACAAAATGAAATCATTGAATTAAAACTAAGCGATTCGGTTAGAACCGATTTATTGAATAAAAACTTAATGATTGAATTAAAATCGCATGATGGAGTTAAAACCGAATTATAGAATCGAAAGGAAATCATTGAATTAGAATCAAATGGAGTTAAACCCGAACTGTAGAATCAAAATGAAATCATTTAATTAAAACCAAATGAAGGAATCAAAATGGAATTGTAGAATCAAATCCAACTCATTAAATTAAAACTCAATCTTGGATTCAAAACCGAATTTTAGAATACAACCGAAATCATTGAATTCAACCTAAATGATGGAGTCAAACACGAATTGTGAAATCAAAGTCAATGAATTAAAATCAAATGATGGAGTCAACACGGATTTGTAGAATGAAATCCAAATCATTAAATTAAGCTCAAATGATGGAGTCAAAAACGAATTGTGAATGAAAACGAAATCATTGAATTAAAATCAAAACCAAATTTTATACGTGATGTCATTCAAGGAAACAAAATCATGCATAAAACCCTAAGACATCGTGAAATTGAAACATTCTCGAATCATAAACAAAAGATTGAATAAAAAGTTGACTCGACGGACAATGATTAATGTTTCTTTTGTTCTATGTGTTGTGACCTTCCAGTTTTGCGTGCCTTTTTTATCCTTAAATATTTTTCCCGTGATGGTGTCTATTTTTCGTTTCCGAAGATAAGTGAGGAAATATTTAACCGATCCCTCAGTTCAAAATGGAACACTAACACAAGTTGATTATAATCAAAATCAGAATACTAATTATGTCATATATGTCCCTAGACTGAAACTGGTAAATTAAAATGTTTTCCTGTCTCTCTAAAGGAGAGTTCTGTGTGGAAATAAACATTTGCCCTCAGATATTGGCAAGAGCGTTTTAACTCTTAGTTACACGGCTGAATTTGAATTTTTCACTTTTTTTAGAAAACCAAAATTACACTCGGTGTGAAAGCTGGAGATTGATGTGTACCAACAACATATTTAGATTCAAAGTTTTACCAAGTTTTGAGCATTTACTTTTAAATATCGTCTGTAAAATGTACAGAAATATCTAATTTCAGCGGGTTTACTTACAGAGTGAGTTCAACATTTTACTATTTCAAGAATGGTATTGAAGTTTATATCTTTTGCATTGGATACATTGAATGGAAAATATTTTCAAACCAAGATTCTAATTATGAATCACAAGCCAAATGCGCTGTTTGTTTTTACTGTGTTCGAAAAATAAAAATTGTGTAAAAAATTGTAAATATTACAAAAAATGCTACTCAATGAATAAAATTTGTTAAATCATTTATTAGATCATAATTAATAAAAACAAAACTAAAAAGGGTATACAACACCATAATACCCCTGGACACAAATTATCAGAAAATTTTTTTTAAATTTGCATTGTTTATTTAAAATCACACTAAAAGTATTGAACTGTATAATATATTACATCATAATATAGTTAAATTGTTCAGGATAATCTCTCTTTGAAGTAAATGAAAGTCTTATTTGATGGCACAATGATTTGGTAATAATATATGCTTATGCGATGCATATTGTCCATATAAAATACGTAAAGCTTCAGTAAATTATAAATTTTATAAGACTTTGCTATAAGGCTTTCACTGATCACCGGAATGAAATTCCAACACTATGATTTTGAACCTAATCTTAATCTTAAAATCATCTCTTCAAAATCAGTAACAATTTTAAATTTGCATTGTTTATTGATAAATCACGCTAAAACTAAAATGAAGGTCATATTTGATGGCACAATGATTTAGTAATAATGTGCTTGTATCATGCATCTTGTCCAGATACAATTTGTAAAGCTTCAGTAAATTATAAATTTTATAAGACTGTTCTATAAGGCTTTCACTGATCACCGGAATGAAATTCCAACACTATGATTTTGAACCTAATCTTAATCTTAAAATCATCTCTTCAAAATCAGTAACAATTTTAAATTTGCATTGTTTATTGATAAATCACGCTAAAACTAAAATAAAGGTCATATTTGATGGCACAATGATTTAGTAATAATGTGCTTGTATCATGCATCTTGTTCAGATACAATTTGTAAACCTTCAGTAAATTATAAATTTTATAAGGCTGTTCTATAAGGCTTTCATTGATCACCAGAATGAAATTCCAACCCTAAGATCTTGAACCTAAATTGAATCTCGTTTCCTCAAAAAAGTGTGACAATCTGGAAGAATATATTTTGTGCCATTATTTATCATGTAAAATCCCAACTTTTCACTTATAATGCAATACCACGGTTCCAAAATCGACCTCTGCACTAATATCCCGCGCCAGTTGGCATTTAAATCAAAACTGGATCAAAGCTCCTATGAATAACTTGCTAAAATAAAAAATAAAAACATCAGAAAGGAATTTCTTAAAACTTCAATTAACTGTGTGTGTGAGGGGACAGGATCTCTGGGCGAATCAGAGGCGAAATATTTGGGCGATCAGGCCACACCCAACTGATAAGGTTGCGTGAATGCATGACAGAATGGGGATGAGAGGAATAATAAAAAGACAAAATGTTACTAAAAGGTTCAAGAGATAGGAAGTTATGGAGAGTCATGGTCGCACACAGAAGTAAGCGAGCACATTGAGGAGGGGGTTATTTCGCTTGTTGTTCCTTTGCCGGGATTGGTCCGTTGGGTATTTCCTATTTGCTAGTTTATTCTAGGGATATTTTGTAAGAGATGTGAATGTTTGTGAGAGACAAAAGAGACAAAAATGAAATTACAAATAATATTATTCATAGAACACCATTCCATTGTCTTAGCAAAACTAATTAGGAAGAATTTATTAATTGTAAAGGTAATATTAACTGTTTCCTTATAAGGAAACATTCTTCATTCATTGACCAAGCAACTAGTGCTACTCGAGTTGCGCTTTTCTCTACTCCCTGATCAGTGGGCTGGGATCAAAGTGTAGTATCTATTTGCCTAGTCTGTAATGTTTATGGTAATGTTAACTGTTTCCTTACAAGGAAACATTCAGTATTCATTGGCCGAGCAGCCAGTTCTACTCACGGTTAAAATTCAGAAAGACTTTCTCTTAAAACAAATTCTCGGGAAACTAGTTCCCACAAGTCTAGGAACAGTTCTGGCTCTTTCCAGTATTAATGGGAGTTTCCTTCCTAACCTTTTGCTCGATGTAGTGTTAACGTCAACATCTCGATTATATCATTATTTTCTCTTCAAAATACACGTGCTGTCCATTTTTGTTGTTGCTGCTGTTGAAAGTCCTCAAGTGATATGGTTTCTGTTATTTAGTACTATTCTTAGTTTGTGATTCTGTAGTGCCAGTCTACGAGGTTCGAAGAAGGATAGAACTTGCTCAGACCTACAGGATTTATTCGCTCAGAGCCAATTTTAATCATTGATGTGGGGAAATGGTTTCATACAGCTGAAAGTTTAAATATTTCCGAACAAGTTGGATACCGTGCATGACATCCATATGAAATATGGACCTGAGGAGGCTGTTTAAAAATATGACCCTAGTTCTTAAGAAAGTTTCGACCTGAGGAGGCTGTTTAAGAATATGACCCTAGATCTTATGTTAATGTTTCGCTTTTGTATCAACTTTTGGTGTTGATCAAAAATAACCCTAGCTATGTTCAGTTCCCTAGTCTCCTCTACTGAAGTTGTTATTACTGATCCATACACCGAGGAAGGATAAGAAAAAAAAGAAGTGTATAAGAAACGAAATTCTCGATATCATGAAAAAGTGACAGTAAGCAATACAAAGGAATGGCATGGAAAATAGAATCGTAAACGCAAATATTAGAAACAAATGCTGGTAGATTAAAGATGACTTGCTCCACGAAAAGTGTGCTGAAGTAGAGAGAATAAACATCATCGATATGGCTTGTACACGAAATGAATAAAAGAAATAATTGGATAAAGAATGTGTTACTCGAAAAATGCATAAAGTATAAAGAAGGAACGCTCCTAATAGAAAAAGAAAAAATACTTCAAAGACCAAATGAATACATCGTAAAATTCTTCAACGATGAAAGAGGGTGACCGACACGAACGATACCCTATCATATTACACCTTGTCCTCATAATGTTTATTTCCTTCGATCTCTTAATTTCATTAGGTTCACTTATCATCTGGTTCAAACTTCTCCCCAGTCTTTTGAACAGGAGTAGAGGTTTAGTCCCTTTTTCCTGTTTGGGTTTCTAGTTCCTTCTCCTAAATTCCCCAAAATGATTAGATAGGTTCGCCTATCGTCCGGTTTACACTCCTCTTCGATCTTTTTGTTTCCTGTTTAGGATTGGATTTCCAACTCCTTCTAAATACTTTTCATTCTGTTTCACTCCCACTAGCCCCCCCCCCTGCATCTTAGTGGCATTATTGTCTTGCTTGACATGAATTGATTAAAAAAAAAACAACAAAAAACAACAATAATAATAATTACTGTTTTTAACAACTCAGTGTAGGACTATAATATCTTTAATCACAATTTCATCAGAAACTTACCAGGAATGAAGGAAATCTATATTTTCTTTTAGGTTTAGTTGTAAGTAATTATCATTTTGAGGAATCATTTCTAATGATGAATATATCATCCTAACTTCTAACCATACGTGGAAGTTAATAAATTTAGAGTAAACTAACATATCTTAGGTTTTTGTATAGCAATGGCAGCATACACAGAGGATTAAAGGAATATAACCACAAAAGGCTGCATACAGCAAAAATAAGTCAATGGAAAAAGTTTTGGAATTCAGTTGGTTGGTTCTACCCAATCACATACCTAATTCAGAAACCCTCTGGCTTACGACCACATCACGTTGAAACACCGGTTCCAGTACGATCACCGAAGTTAAGCAACGTCAAGTCTGGTCAGTACCTAAATTGACGACCGCTTCGGAATATCAGGTACTGTAAGTTTGGATGTGAGTATGGCGTAATTGATAATGGCTCGGAATTGTTAATCGGAGAGCCGAGTTCCAATTCTAATTGGGTTCCTTATATTCACTTACACACAAATCCCCTTAAGAAAGGTATGAATCCACTGCTTCTTCTCCCAACTATGGGTTAAATAATAAGACTTGTTACACAAAAACATTATTATCTCAAAAAAATCTTACAATGTAAAAATAAAAAAATTCAGTTACACCCAAAGACCTTTGTAAAATTATGAATCCACCTCTTCTCCCCCAGCTTGGGGTTAATTAGTAAGACTTGTATCACAAAAACCAATATTACCTCCACAAAAAATCTTATAATCTAAAAAGATTTTCTGTCTTTAAATAACCTGCAATGGGTTGATAAGCCGTAGAAAACGAATTAATCAATCAATTGTAAACTTCGGTTCAGTAGTTTCCAACACCGGCAAACCTTCTCAGGAAGATCAACAGTAGACGGGTTGGTTTCAGGTATCAGGACAGACCTCTAGAGACCAGTATGGTGGCGTCGTAACATCTCCCGTCGTACCAAACTACGAGGTTACCGTCCTTCCTGTCTTACTATACAGCGCAGAGACGTAGCCTCTCGGCAAGACCTTCGCCTCCCGCGAGATCCACAGATTCAATCTTGTCTAATGAGAAGCTCCACCGGAGGACCAGTCAGCCGAACCTCCCTCGCACCATCGCTTAACGCTGTGTTCGCTGGCTTGGTCTAGAGACGACCTGCTAACCACCATACCAGAGTCTTCATCCAGTTACGACCTGTCATCTGCAAACTGGAGACGACGTCGCGACAGACAACGGAAGAGCTGGAAAGACATCGTCCTCCAGGACCTCCAGCAGATTAATCTAGCACTGGAGGATGTCCCGACGCCCTGCCAAGGCCGAGAGACCTTGGAGAGACAAGATGGCTCTCACGGGTTCAAATACATTCAAGACATGACAGTTAGCAAGAGCAAAATTTTTCAATAACCTTAAAAAAAAAAATTTACAACGGAACATCCTCTTGCTGAAAACTCAGCAGAACTATTTTGGATTTTTCTATTTCAAGAAGCATGTTGTCACTTTTGTCCACCTGTTTAGCTATCATTGCATAATCCAAAAACGATTATGGCCACGACATCCAAACTTTCTTTTTCGAAATTGAGTAAATGAGTATGCTTCAGTAGATTTATTTTTTGAGAATTCTTTTTAAAAAGGTTTTAGCGAAGGGTTTGATTTAAAAAGCAAAAGAAAATTGTTATACTCGGCCCTTATTTTGTGACTGTCTGGTTAGCTAACATCGGAACAGTGCACCCCCACGATATTCCTGAAGACGCTGGACTCGAAATTATGGATGCAGGAGGATCTCTGCGCGCTGGAATGGCCAGCCGAACATCCTCCACACCATCGCTCAGTGCAGTGTCCGCTGGCTTGGACACGTACTTTAAGAAATATGTTGAATACAATACTAGTCATTTACATATAGTATATATCATATAGAAGCTGAACCTTTCCTCTTTATAACAGTATACATATTCTGGTAAGTATAATAGTATATAATTAAACTATACTTAATACAGTTACTATATCATTATATCTTAGCAAGCAAAGATGTGGTCAAAAGTAAGAGTAGGATTGATCGGTTTGAAGAGGTGTAAAAAAATCGACAGCAGTTATTGAATTGACCCTTTTTCTAAAAATATAGGTGCTCTTTTGTGCTATTAGGTGAGGTGTGACCTTCTCAAAAAATATGGATTTTTTGCGTAGCACAATTCCAGAATTTTAAGATTAGCTTCAGTGGTTGAGAGAGGGGCAAGGGGAAGCGGCCAGACGACTGCGTCTAGCACGAAACAGCCTGTCGCCTCTGAGTGTTGACTTCAATGTTCACTTTTATGTTTATATTTACGTACGCTCTATCTCTGATATTGAATACTTTATCCGATAAATATAGCACACCTTAAAACTATATTTCTTCATATATATATATATATATATATATATATATATATATATATATATATATATTGAACAATATAAAATATTAAAAAATTAAAATTTTCAGACACACTGGGTTGTATATTAATATTCCTTCGTTTTTATTATTATTTCATTTAGATTCCTCGACTAGTTTCAGCCAACATGGCCATCATCAGGAGAAAAATAATTTTCTGCTTGCTGGTAGCAGTGAACTACCGAAATGCATGTCTTGATGGAGAAAATGAACTTTTGTCTGTAGTTTTCATTTGTATTTTTTTAATTTTTTTAACATGAATTTTGGTCAGCCCTTGTGTTGGTCAAAGAGTCTCTTTTAAGTTGTTATTTGAGATAAGAGCTGGATGGATTCATGCTGCTCTGAATTCCCTTGGTCATTTTGACAGATTTATTGGTTCCTGGAAAGGGGATATGTCTCTGTTAAGTGTGTGTGTGTGTGTGTGTGTGTGTGTGTGTGTGTGTGTGTGTGTGTGTTATTTGGTTCTTAGGGAGTGAGTGAGTATGATGTGTGTAAGCGTGTATATTACTATGGGTGTGTGTTATCATTTGGCTCATTAGGGAGTGAGTGAATATGTTGTCTGTAAGTGTGTATATTCGTGTGGGTGTGTGTGTAAGTGTGAGGTCTCAACACCTCCATAAACATGTGTGTCTTGTGTGGCTGAGAAATGTAGGTAGGTTTTATATATATATATATATATATATATATATATGTGTGTGTGTGTGTGTGTGTATGTGTGTCTTCCCCTCATACCGGATACGGTGGACAAACTGTCGTTTAATTTACACAGATATATTTACCAAACTTACACAAAAATATCTTGAAATACTAAAGAGTAAATTTATTCTATATAATCGCCATTGACCTCAATCACTGTCTCCAGACGCCTTCGGAATCTCCTGCAACTCTGCTGGATGGTCTCCTTGTTTGGTGCAGCTGGTGAATGTTGCCATAAATCTTGCCTTCAGTGTATCTTTGGTGTTACAAAGAGTTTTGTTGTTCTCTCAATAAACTGCGCCCCACACATCATGATCAATGCGGATTACAATCTGGGGAGTTAGGTGATGATGTGGTCGCACAAATTGTCTGACTGCTATGTCTGGGTTCTTCTTCTTGTATGGCACGGTGCAGGGTCCTGCTGCTAGGCATAGGGTCTTCCAGCAGACACCCTCTTGTACGAGGGTAGCACTACCTCCTCAAGGCACTTGTATCAGGCCTCAGTGATTAATCTGAGACTCTGCGGGAAGATGAATGAGAGCATAACGTTGCCATTACTAGTGATCACACCAAACACCTTTGTAATCACCAATAGACTCATCCAACTCTTTCCCCATCCTCTGCACTGTCCTCAGATTGGCACTGAAAACACACTGAAATATTCCTATTGGATTTCCGGCGCGAATGCCAAGCAGTATAGCATGCTGTTTCCAAATTTCTAGCGGAGGGGGGGGGGCTTACAGACAGTGTCTAATTGACCCTACTATACTGTGCAGTTGACAAAATAAAATAAAAACAGTGCGCATGCGCGAAATTAAAAAAAAATAAAATAGCGACACTTTAACCATTGCAGCCTCTCTCTCTCTCTCTCTCTCTCTCTCTCTCTCTCTCTCTCTCTCTCTCTGTGTGTGTAGGGGAGAGAGAACGGAAGGGAAGAGACAAAGAGGGGAGTTAAAGAGGGGAGAGAGGAAGAGGGACACAGAGAGAGGGAAAGAGAGGGAGAGAGACACAGATTGAGAGAGTGGTGGATTACACGGCAGCAGATTCAACCGATTCGTTTTGTTGCTATTGTTTCCGTATCAAGTAGGCCCCAACCGAATTTGAATTCAAAGCCACAGAGAACATCCTGTGCTGCTATTTAACCCATAGCTGGGGGAGAGAAGAAATTAATTCAGATATCACGTAACAGTTCAGTACTCTTTTCTTCTTTTACACGCTTATAAAAAAGCGTAATGGTCTGCAAAAAGCGAAAACTCTTTTGATGCATCGTAATAATTTTTTTAATAATTTCTCGAAAACAAATTGTTGGGATGAATATTTAAATAATCAATCCATCGTCTGTTTTAATTAATTAAACTAAATAACATATTATTCCCAGAGTTTCACTAATTAAATATAAGCGATTTAATCTTACGCAATTAATTAACCTTCATCCTCACAAGATTATACTTTCATTGGGTCTAAGGGGAATAATCCACTTTGCTTGTTTTTCCGCGTTAGAAAATGAACGCATAAATACCTGAATTCTGCCGTAGAATAAATGCACAGATTTTGAGGTCAACATCGACTGCTATATAGTGGTCATGACTGGTGTCATGCCTCTCTTATTAGAAAATATCTACCTGTTGGGTAAAATCTAGACAAGATTTTCTGCCTATAATTTGAAAAAGCTAAAAGGAGGTAGAAAGTGTACCTATTTTTAGAAAAGGTACCTCTTCTCTAAAACAAAACAATGAACCCTGTAAACTTTTGCGCATAACTATTTTTTAAATCTTTCTCACGTCTTAAATGCAACATATCATTTGAAAAAGAACATCACCTGTCTATATTTCTGAGATGAGATATTATGTACACTATTTACATTATTCGGACTATTGTCTTCATCTTTGTCAACATATTTATTACAACGTTTCGGCCGTTGTACGCCCGGCCTTCTTCAGGTGGTTGAAGAATGCCGGAGCCTTCAACGGCCGAAACGTTGTAATAAATGGCGACAAAGATGAGGACAATAGTTCAAATAATGTAAATAGTGTTAAAAACCATATCCATTAATTATTGTTTATATATATATATATATATATATATATATATATATATATATATATATATATATATAAGAGATATAACGATATATATTTTTACATATCAAAGATTAGAACAATAGTCCGAATAATGTAAATAGTGTAAAGAACATCACTTACGCACTTTCGTTAATTAGACATTAAATTGTGTCACTGACTTTTCAGCTAACCATGTGAATATTTAAGAGCATTCTTAAACTTATTTTTTTT